GCTGCTTTCCCCGGGGCCCAGCGGTGCCCTTGTTCAGGTCCCCTCAACAGCTGGGATGGCTTTTCCAAATCTCTCTCTCTCTCTCTCTCTCCCTCTCTCTCTCTCTGCTTGAAGTCTTTCAGTGGGTAATTCCGTCTTTGATGGCTCCTTCTGTTTCTTTGTCCGCTTTTGTTTTCTTTGAGACAGGCTGACTTCGAACTCTTACTCCTTCTGCCTTGGGCTGGGATTACAGGACCTGCTGCAGGTCACTACCTGTGTAGCTCAGGAGCGGTGGCCATCCTCACCTGCTGCTGCTGTCCCATGTCGTGTGCCCATCTGAGGGCAGTGTCCCTCCCACACTAAGGGACAGGGCGGTCCAGCATGCATGGCGTCCACGTATGGAGGATGGAGCCATCGAAAAACACGGGCTGGACACTGTCCCTATGCCGCGGGCGAACCCCAATCCTCCTGATGAGAGAACTCTCGCCCATTAGCCATGGCCCTGCCCTACTGGCTGTCCAGCCAGGTTCCCGACCTCCCTCTGCGTCTCCCATGACATTTCAGGGATGTCACCAGCCTCAGTCCCTCAGTGTGCGGAAACCCCAGCTGCACCTCATGTCCACGTGGTCCTTTGCCATCGTCCCTGCGGGCAGCCAATGGAGGCTGAGTCTCCTGCTGGGGAGATTGTTGGTGGCACGGTCAGGTGGCCCAGTCAGGTGGCCCAGGACGGACACCCCATCCCGTCTCTCCTGGCACGCGTCGCGCTCTGTTGTCTGCAACCCATGCCGGGCTCAGGTTTTGCTGGGAAGTGGTTCTGTGTTGTTCTCTTCTAGCTTGTCCTCTGTCTTCCGCTTCCGGTTGCAATGGCGTTCAAGACTGTGAGTTCCCTCGTGAGTCCAAGCCCTCCTCCAGCCCAAGGCTCGGCACTCACTGTCCCCTCTGTCCCCTCAGTTCTTCTACAGGACCTTCCCTTCTCCCCTCCCTCGCCAGGCCTTGCTCCCTGCTGGCCACCCGGCAGGTGGGACTTTAATGTGTTGTTGGGCCCGATGGGTCAGTGTCACCCTGTCCCCAGCACCATGGTCACCACCACCACCATGACCGGCACCTGAGTGGTGCTCTATCTCCTCACACAGCCAGGAAGACTGACCCCAAGGTCTTGGCCAGCTGGGTGCCCAGCCACCCTCCTGAGTCTTACCTCAGTGTCCTCACCCCTCAAGGTCCTCCATCTTACCTCTGTCCACTGAGCATCAAAGTCCTGCAGGCAGCAACACCAGGGGCTGCTGTGGGAGGGCTGAGCTGCTGGGGTGTCCCCATGTCCCACCCTGAGAGGGCCAAGAGCATCCTTTGTGGATCTGGGGGCCCCACTGTGCCTGGCCAGCCTCCCGGGACTCCTCAGCAGGCCTCAGTTGGCTGTCCCCTCTGTCCCCATGCTGTGTCCTTCACCACCCCCTGCATTTCTAAGAACCAAGAGGCGGGTGTCAGATGCAGGCAGCACAGAGGGCTGGGGGAAAAGCACCTCGCCCCACCCAGCCACCCCTGCCCTCACTAGGGACAGTCTCAGGCAGTCCAGGGAGCCCTGTGGACACTGCTCTCCTTTCCACAGGACACGTGCCGCCATGCTCCACCCAACACACCAAGGTGCCCCACGGTTGCCACCTGTCTCCTGGGTGCAGTGCTGGGATGGAGCCTCTTGGCCACCTGGGTGGCAAGTATGTGACTCCCACCCATCTGCTCCTTGCAGTTCAGCCTTGTCACCGTGTGGTGGTTTGAACCCCCTTTCTTCCCTCTCTGCTCCCCACACCTCCAGGACAGGCCACAGAGGACCAGCAGCCGCTGAGACCCCGCAGCTCAGGCCCCCCCCAGCAAGGCCACTGCACCCGAAGCTCCACCCCGTCCCAGCCAGCAGGAACCGCTCAGGCCAGGCCAGGGTGACTGCACAGGGAGGACATCAGGGGTGAAAGACAGAAGACACCATCATTTTGCTGCCCTGGCCAGAGCTGGATCTGGATCTGTGCATGGTGCCAGGTGACCTGAGTAAGTTAAGTTTCCGTCACTGGCAGCCAACTCCCCCAGCCCCACGTTCCTGTCTTGGAGTCTGTCCGTCTACCTTGGCCACTGCAGCCCAGGATTCACAGCCACGGTCAGTGTCCCACGCTCCTGAGTCAGGTTCCAGAGAGAAAAACCAGCTGGAGGAAAGTTGGGGTGGGCTCCGGCAGGCTGGCCTCCGGAAGGCACACCTTTCTTTTTGTTTTTTGGTGGCACTGGGATTTGACCTCAGGGCCTCACACTTGCTAGGCAGGCGTGCTACCATTTGAGCCTCTCCACCAGCCCTTTTTTGTGATGGGTTTTTTCAAGTTAGGATCTTGCAAACTATTTGCCCGGCTTGGCTTCAAACCGTGATCCTCCTGATCTCTGCCTCCTGAGTAGCTGGGATTACAGGCGTGAGCCATAGGCTCAGTGTCACGTTTTTGAGGTTCACTCATGTTGCATTAAGTATCAATGCCTCATTTATTCCTCTGTGTGGCTGAGTGACACCCCACTGGAGAAGACCCGTTTTACCTTAACTTTTTTTTTCTTTTTTGGGGGGACGGTACTAGCAGTTGACCTCGGGGCCTTACGCTTGCTCTTACTAATTGGGCCACACCTGCAACCTCAGGAAGGTGCCTTTTGAGACAAGACCTGAGAGGAAGGTGAGGGGTGCAGGGCAGCGGCCACAGCCTCAGGGTTGTCAGATCGCAGCCCTGAGCGGGCGTCCCTCAGGTTGAAAGCCTTCAGCGCCACTCCCATGCTGCGTGGGACAAAAGGCTGCATGGAGGAGGGGTCTTTGGGCCCTGGGTAGCCCGAGTTGGTTGGGGAGACCTCACTGAGCAGATGGTGACTGAAGACAGAGCTACAGGACTTGCTGGTGGGTGGGCATTCATGGTAAATGCCAAAAAACAAAAACAAATGTCCACCAAGTGGTGGCCGCCTGGCCACGCAGTATGACACCACGTGGCGGTTAAAGCTGGCAGGGCTGTTCTCTGGGGCATTGGTGACATGGGGAAACCGCAATTTGTATGCATTTTTAAACCTGGGGACTTTTTCCTAGTGTCTCTGGATGACACCACAGTCCTGGCCTCTGGGCAGGGAAATGTGTGGTCTGGGCTTCACCTGGGAGGGGGCTCCCCTGTAGGGGACACTGGGGCCCAGGTGGAGGGAGTGTATAGAAGTCCAGCTGCTGTCCCGCAGCTGGCCACCAGGGGTCGCCCTGGCCCACACAAGCTGCTGAGAGCCACTGGGCCCAGCCTGTCAGTCATTTCTAACTGCCTCAGACCCCGCCTCCTGTGATAGTTGCATATGTGTGTGGTTTGCATAGAATTTGCATGAGTCCTCTCATTTGAATTAAATTTGCATAGTATTTGCATAGCACTGAGATTTGCCTTTTTTGTGACCCAGTTTGGCTCAAAGAAATTACATTTCTGAATAGCTCCCAATTCAGGAGGCAAAGGCCACTGTGGCCCAGGCAGGTTCCAAGCAACCAGTCACAGGCCCTACTGGGAGTCCCAAGTGAAGTGAGTGACCCCGAGGGGTTCCCTGCTGATGGGACTGAAGCCAGGGCTGATGACCTTAGTGCCACAGTGCTAGGTGGCAGCAGCTCCAGGGCTCACCGGAGACAGAAGGGGCCAGGACTGTGGTCACTGGCTTGCGATCCAGCCTGGGGTGACCGCCCATGCCCAAGTGTGGACGTCACACGAGTCATCCAGCAGCTGCGGGGATGCTGGGCCGGACAGTGAGGACTCACACTGGTAGGTGTCTGGGTCATGACTCACCTACCTCAGCTGAAGAGCTGGGGGAAACTAAGGCACAGGGAGGGAACCCCCGGATGGTTGGCAGGCCCTTCCCCCAACATTCTGGATTCCCCCACCTGACATCTCCACTGCCTGGCCAGGGCCCTCGCATCAGGGACACCCATCAGGAGGGCAGGACAGCCCCCCACCCAGAGCCTGCTCTGCGGCCCCCTGCTGCCCTGTGGCCTGTTTCCTCCTCTGTGAAGTGGGGACACATTTGCCCAGAGTCATGAGGACAGCAAAGCAGCGAGGACCTGTCCGTACAGGGCTCTCGGGAGGACCTGGGCTTGCCTGGTCCCATTATGCCTGAGGGGACAGCGGGGCTGGGAGAGGGAGGAGACTCGTCTAGGTAGGAGTGACAGACAGGCCATCGCCCCCTTCTCCGCTGGCCACCAGGGGGCGACCCTACAACATGATTAACACCGGCCCGGCTTCGCGTCCCTCGTTTCTCTCCGCTGACCCCCTCCCCACGCACGTCCGCACCGCAGGACGCCCTTCCTCCCCTCGGCCGCCTCACGGCTGTCCCCTGTCCCACAGCCTGGCGGCCACCCTCCCCAGTGGCAGTCCCGGGACTGTCGTTCCTCCGCCAGGTGCTGCTGTCCTCTCTGGACACAGAGGGGACGACCGCGCAGCTGCGGCCGCCGCCTGCTTCCCTCCAGGCATGGTGGACCACGGTGGCCTAGGGACCGGGTGGCCGCTCTCTGGACTCAGTGTCACACTGCCTGGCCCTGGGGCGCCTTGCACAAAAGCGCCGCAAACCCGGCAGCCACGTGGCCACGGACCGACCGTCTCCGCCCCCTCTGGGGCTCTGACCCCGCCCCCTCATCGCCCGATTCGCAGGCCTGACTCCGGCTCCGCCTTCACCCGGCCACGCCCCATCACCAGACCACGCCCAACTGGGGCTCTGACCCCGCCCCCTCATCGCCCGATTCGCAGGCCTGACTCCGGCTCCGCCTTCACCCGGCCACGCCCCCTCGCCAGACCACGCCCGATTGGGGCTCTGACCCCGCCCCCTCATCGCCCGATTCGCAGGCCTGACTCCGGCTCCGCCTTCACCCGGCCACGCCCCATCACCAGACCACGCCCGA